TCTTTCCTCACAACCAATTTAACTTTGTGAAGTAAATACTGTGTCATGCTGGGATAAATGGAGATGGAGAGTTGTTAGGGAAATGAAAGCATAATATTGTGATACAGCCTTCTTTTGGCAAATATTTTAAATTCTAGCAAGTTGTGGTGTGTAGGTGCTAATCTATGGCAGAAGTACTTTTTGTATCATCAAAGCCAAGTTCATGGATAATTAATAATCTTGGCCCAAACCCTCCTCAGAAACAGGGAAAGCTATAAACTGAATTTTTTCATGTTCAGTTGGCTTAAAGAATTATTTATTTTCTTTAAAGAAGAAAAAGGGTAAATAACAAGCAGTTGCTAAAGAAGGTAACAAGAAATATTGTATTTTTAAAACCTAACTATCCCACTAACCCTTCCTCTAGCAAGACAGGTAAGGCAAGTACTGGGGCAGCTGGCTGCTTCCTCTCCACTGCAGCAGACACCTCGCCCATCGGTCTGGTCTGCCAAGCGTGGGCAGCAAGTTCTGGATGGAGCAGCTCCTGCTCTGCGAGCTCCTCCAGCAAAGAGCTGCAGCTTTGCAATGTTTGCTGTCTCCTCAGCTCTTGGAGGAGTATGTCTAGCACAGAGAACTGCCTCAGCCCTGCTGCGTGTGGGAAGCTCTTAAATAAAGCTGGGCTGTGACTTTTGCAACCCGAGGCTGAGACCTGTTGTCTTGGGTTTTGATGACTGCTCTTTAAAATATAGTTAGTTGATCTATACTCTCGAGCTTTAAAAATACTGACTTGCCTGTGGGTCATTGTATGCTTTAGCAGGAGATTTTCCCAATTGTAACAGTCTGTGTGGTGTGTTTTGGGTCCATTTTGTTGTGGTTTTCCCTAAAGTTGAGGCCTGGTGGGGTGTCCCTTTAATTTCGTGGTGTCTCCACCAGATGTCAACAGTGCCCTTCTGCTGGGTCCTGCTCCCGCCCGGGCTGGTGCAGTGGGAGGACAGAAGGGCCACTGACCCAACTGGACACAGCCTGGATGGCAGCTGGGGGCTTGTGCTGGGTTCACTGGCCCATCCTCTTGCAGTTACTGAGGAAAGTCAGGGATAAATACATTTCCTGCCCTGAATGTAGTGCCACTAGCACATTACGCTCCTCTTAAAGATAAACACCTCCTCTCTGCCTTCTGTGTGGTTGTAAACCTCTGAAGTTTCAATTTCCTTGTTTTATACTGACAGACATTATAAAGCATATTTTCTTGAGGTTGTGGCTGCTACTTTTAATTACGGTATGTACAAGTTTGGGAGGTCAGTAGTCAGTCAAAGAGGGGATTTATGAATCAAACAATCACTTTGTTGTGTCTACCTTTGTATTTAAACATAGTGGCTTTTTAAAAAGTGAAGATGGCTGTATTGAGTTGTCTTTGAGTATATTGTTCTACTTTTTCAATTGGCTGTATTTTACTGCTTCAGTAAAAACATCTTTTGTGTTTGGGAACAAAGAAACAAGAATAGACAAGAGTCATCACAGAAACTTCTCAGTACTCTTACATTTGCCTTAAAATATTCACTTGGGACTTGAAAGTTTGGATTCATGGACTTCTATATTGCTTTCCATAGAAGAGTTTGAAAATGCTTCTCATACATGAAGAAGGCTACAGATGGAGTAGAGGAGAATCATCTCTCTCTGTTTTATATGTAGAGGAAGAAAGCTTCTGTGCCTTGTGACTTCAGAGTGGCCAGGGTTTTGTAGTTAATCTTGATTCTGCTTGTGTTTATTTACTGCATCAAAGGTGCTTCTCTTTTTAGTTTTGTCTCAAAAGAGTTAGGTAGCTTTTTAATGATGTGCCATACATGGTTTTACATGAAAGCAGCTCTATTGTGCCTGTTTCTCTAAATCTGAAAAATGTTCTTTCCTGTGTTATATGTACTCTGCTTTTATACTCCTGATGCACTTTTAATTCCCTGGACCTTTTAAAAGTTAACTTTTTCAAGCCATTAACTGTGATTAAATCTTTTTTAGATCAATGATCTCTTGGAAGAGGAGGAAGATGTAAAGCTTGAGCAGTCTGAAGAACTTCCAGAAGATGGCACAGAGAAACCTGTTGAAAGCCCAGCTGAGGTGCATCTAGATATGACAGAGAGTCTCTCAGACTCCAGGAATGTTACAGCATCAACAAGGTAACTTGATTCTGCCCTGGAGTTTGGAGTATAGTCTGCTCTGTCTGAGAGAGGAGCTCTAGAGATAAGTGGTGGTGTCCACAAAATGAAGCTTTAGAAGTCAGTGTAGTTCTTGCAGTAGTAAAATACAAGATAAAATAACTGTACCCAAATTCCACAGAGGAATGGCCACAGAACTTAAACTGGTTTAACTATGGTGATTTATGCAGGGAAAGGGAAAAGGGGCATGTTTAAGTGAAACAAAGTTTAGGTTGGAATTTATCCCTTTGGGTAGGTTCTGCTGGGAGAGAGCTGTGAGCAAGCCTGGCACTTATAAAGTGTGTTACAGGCAGGTATATTGGAGTAGGAGTCAGCTTTTAATTAAAAGGAGGTGCATAAAGTTAAAATCTCACTTCTTTTTCAGAGCTTATTTGCACTTGCTTGTAATACACAGGTTGATATTTTACTCACTTGTAGTACACAGGGTTTTATTTCTAAGTTTGCTTTGCTTGTACTCAGAGTTTACATTTTACAGCCAGTGCATTTTACCTTTTATCTACAGCATGTTGTGGTGTGGGTGTTGCATGTAAGAATTTGTAGGGACTAGTGAGGATGAATCTGTAATAAGTGTGCCTAAAAGCAGAAGAAATACAGGGGCAATCACAAGCTAGTTTACTGCCTGAAACGGAGTAGTCTCAAGAAGGTGGATTTTGGGTTGAAATCTGTTCAGCTTTTTGGCTGCACACTTCCTCCTATGTCATTGAGAGAGTTTGTAAAATGCAAAACAGAGAAACATTTGTTTTGTAACTTACATTTTAATAGTTAACTATATATATAATATAATAGTTTTAATAGTTAATGGCACGGTTCAATTCTTGTTTGAGTTGAAATAAAAAAAAAAAAAGATGTTGCAATTGTAATTTCTCCAGAAGTGCTGCTTCTTCCAGTGAAAGTGTTAAAGCAGCTGAAGTATGCACAGGTATTTAGGTGCTTGTGGATTGTGTAAGAGCAGCAGTAGTGACAAACTCAACATGTTTGAGAGTTTAAACTTGATAGCCTGAAGAGAAAAACATTTTTACTCAGTGTTTAGGGTTAATTAAAAATTAATAGGCATTAATTATGGTTGACATTTTACATAATTTGTGGGGAAGGATAAGGAGGAATCCTGTAGAAGAAAGAGAATTTTGACTGTAAAACCAGAACTGCAGGAAACATTAAGGAAAAAAAAAATGACAGAGAATGAGAAAGTGTGCTCTATTAAACTTTTAACCACTCTAAGTATTTTTCCAAATTCAAAGGCTTTCATAGTATGCATTTAATGGCTTTTTTTTTGTTTCAGTTTCTTGATGTAAAAAAAAGGGCAAATATTAATGCAGGTTTATTGGGGTGTTTGTCTTGACATAGGGCCTGCAGCAGCTTATAGAAGAAAGAGAAGTTGATCTTAAACATGATTCTTGCAGTTCTTAAGCTGGAGTTTTGTTGCCTCTTTGCTCTTGTCATATCTTTGGGAACTGAGTATCTGTATATTTTGGTCTCTTTGTGGAGAGAATGAAAAGGCTGAGGTTGCATGTTCTGTGTGTTAAAGATTGCTTCTCTTGATGCACACACTGGGGTATAGAACTTTCACTTATTTGGACTATAACTTACTCATCATTTTGCTCACTACCTTTTTTCCTTTGCTTGTCCTGTTTGCTCTTTCTGCAGTGTATGACCTTCATGCACTGCATGGAGTTAATTTGTGGTAGAGATCTGGTGAGAATGTGGATAATCATTAATGCAGTTTGATTTAGTGACTGCTTGAAAATGGTATTTCAGATAAACCTGTTGAATGATCTTTCAGCCTGTGACCCAGTTGGGGAGCATTTGTTGCACATAGTTGATACTGTGTGTGAAAAGGAAACCTCTTGTTCTCCCTTATCAGAAGCCTTTTCACCTCAGCCCTTTGGGTTTTGCTGTCCTGACTTTTGGAGGAAGGAGCTGCTGACTCAGCATTGCAGCTGACTTAAGACATGCTGCTGAAATAATCACTTTAGAATCCTTCTCTGTCATTACTCCAATTTTTTTCATCACTGTGCTTTGCCAAGCAGTATTTGCTTTGCTTTTTTGCAGTTCATCTCAAATATTGTCAGTCAGAAGCCAAACAGAAAAACTCCTGATGTGTCCTTCGGGCTTTTCAAAGTTGTGTGTAAAAATATGAGCTATGACAAGTAGCTAAGTTCTGCAAATAGTTTACTTTGTATTAAATGCAGTGACAAGGGCAACACCTTCACTGCTTGTATGATGTTTTCTGTTAACCCTTTTTTGGTTTCATTATCTCTGAGCAGTGAGGGAGAGGCAATAATATGAACAGCAACAAAATGAGATAAAATGCAGACATAGTGAGGCTGACCAAACACAACTACCCAAACAATTGCTAGATAATGTATTATTTGTTTAACTTAGCAGTCTCTTTAACACCCCAATACTTGTTCCTGCTTCCACGGTAGAAGATCTGGGAACAAGATATTAGGAAAGCTTTCAAGTGTTGATTGGGCAGCTTATTGTCAGGAGTGACCTCATGTTGCAGTCTATTTCTATTTAGACTGCAGGGCTTAGCGCAGCGCTCCAGAAGTGGAGTCTGACAGGCAGGCATCCAGTCCAGCAGGCAGCATGCACAACCAGCAGCCCCCAGGCTTTGCCCTTTTCCAGATGAAGCACTTCTACCTGAAGTGTTCATTTGGGATAGCAAAAATAATCAGGATGGCCTGTAAAGTTCTGCTGCACAGGTAATTATCCAAAAGGAAATGCGCTGTTTTGATATTGCAAATAAGGCTTTTGTTAACTTGGAAATGATGTGAAGTAAGATATATTTTGCAGATATTGTGAAGTGAATTAATGTCAGAACTGATTTTGCTTTTTTAAGAGAAATAAGAATCTGTGTTCAGTCAGCAGATTACCAAGAAAAAACTTTGAAATGTTTTATCTCTGGTTAATGTATTTTTCTATCTCAAGCTATGTTTTTACTGGGACTTGTACAGTGCATGAAGGATCTCAGGAGAGGGTTCAGCATTATGAAACAAAGATGTTTACCTCTGTGTCTTGCTGTGTCATGCTGCGTTCAGGCTCTGTGTAGCAGTGTAAATTACAGCTTGTAGAAAGTATCCTGAACTGAGGTACCTGGTTTCAGGAGTTGTCATGTATTTTCAGCTAAGAGCAACTGACTTTTCTTTCAAAAAGTACTTAATTGGTAAAGTGATTAGTTGAAGAGAGTAGATATTCTTCTGTAGTAAGAGGATTCTTGAGGCTTTGCAGTACTGCTGATTTATGCACAGCTTTTGCTGAGTACCTTTAATGCATCTAAAGGTGTTTAATAAAAGCACTGGTGAAGGATCCTACGCTGAGGGCTGAAGGTTACATAGTGGGATGGAAAATTTTGTTGTGAACCATGTCTGAAATCTTTTGGATTCTTTGGAGATGAGTTTGATTCTCCCCACTCTTGACACAGTTAGTTCCTCATTGTCTCAAGTGGTAGAATAAAAGGATTCCAGGCCATCAGTTTCCTATAAATAGTACTTGTACTTGTGCCCTTGACTGAATTTCTTTTGCTGTCTTTTACAATTCGAGTATTGCAGTGTTCTGTGCTCTGGTTGTTTCCCCCCACCCCCCCCACTTTATCCTAAGGGTGACTCTGTTTTAATAGTAAGTTGATTTCAATGCATACAGCTATGTGTTAGTACTTTTGGAAAGTATACCTTTTACAAAAAAGCTTTTGTAGAACATACTAAAAATACTGAGACCGGATACTTAAATGCAACATTTTTCATGGTTTGAAGACCTCAGTGTTTTTTTTTTCTCTGACATTCTTGGTCATGCCCCTCCTCTTTTATCTTGTTTATGAAGCTGAATTTATGCACAACTTCATGTGTTCATTTTTTATTTCAAGTATTGTCAAAACCAAAAATTATCACAAAACTTAATCGCTTTGTACAAGTAGAAGGGGCTATGCTGAACTGCATGCAGAAATATCAGTAATATGTAAACATCTTAACTTGTAAACTTATCATTTGCTTCAACAAAAACTGAAAGGTTACTGTGTCATCCACAGTTGTTTGATCCAGCAGCTTAGAAATGAGAGGCTGCAGGGTCTGGCTTCTACATCAGGGGGTTTAACTTTGCAAAGCTACGTGGCAGCGTCTGTTTTGAAACAGTCGTTTAGAGCTGCCTGTCCTGTCAAAGCATTTGGATAGATCTGCTTTGCTTTTTCACCTAGGCAAACAAACACACAATTGATCAAGTGTGCTTGATTCAAAATCAAGTTTCCATTTAAAATAAAAGAGAAAAAGAAATTAAAAACTGTGAGCACCTGCTTGTTCAGTTGTTACATGGTGGTGTTTAAATACACCGTGCTCTGCTGTTGGTCCAGTACAAGTTGTCTAAGGCAAAAGGGCCTAATTATTTTAAAATACATACTTTAACTGCTTTCCCTATCAGGTAGTGTTTAATTGAAACCCCTTTATTGCACGTTTCATCTACTCAGAGGGAGGGAAAACAGAAAGTCTGCTTTAGGTGGTCAGTTATCTTACCTCTCTGGTATTGAAGCTACTAATAAACTTGATCATGTCTAACCAAGATATTCCTCACTCTATTAAAACTATTCTTGTGTAAGCAGAGAGACTTTCTATATATTGTTTTTAGCTCAAGCCAGAATGATATCAGTCAAAACTATCTTGTAGAGGTGGTACCTGTTCATTTCTCCAGTGCAGTGGCAGACTCACTTGTGTTTCAAGGTTTAATTTATGCATTCATGAAAATAATATTTAAAGTCAATGCTGACTACTAACAGTGTTGTTGCATGGTAAAGAGTAGATTAATTTTTTTTCAGCTTTTTGAGCTTGGTTATATATAGTAACAAGAAAAAGCATTTGTTTACCTCCCTCCCTACCTCCTTGTTGAAATGAAGTTAGTATTTATTTGTCTTCTGGATAGGACGTGTGAGTTGCAAGTCATAGCTCTTTGCAGGAATTCTCTTGTTTCACTCGGCATATTTACCATCAATTTGTCTAAAATTTAGGTATTCTATTTATAATGAGGGAATTTTGATCATATTAATGGAAAATTGTAGAGAGACCACATACACGATTTAACTTCTTGTCCTTGTTTTGGATACACCAATTTCCACTCTTCCACCCCTCCCTAAGAGTCTAACAGTGTAGGCTGAAGTGGCTTGTGCTGGGAGACTTCCACATGCTTTGAGTGGCTAACTTGTGTCTCAGAACCTCTGGAAGGTACCTGCCCTGCATTTGAGATGTGGAGGGAGAGCTGCAGATCTGTTGAATGTTGCAGAATCAAATTATGCAACAGTCTGGCAGGCAGGGAAGAACCTCTACAAGTTGCAACTGTGGGGGCAAGCAAAGTAATTTGGAATTTGCTTTAGGCAGCAAGGTTAAAATCTGCATTCTTAAGCAAGGTGTCAGGAAATCTTGGGAGACTCAGATTAGTATTTCCCATGGGAAAGACCATATGTGTGAGAGCTTATAGCTTCCTAATATACCCAAACCTGCATTGCTGCTTCTACAACTTGGTCTCCTGATGGCATTCTTTAAGGGTTCTTCATCTAAATAATAAAGGGACTGCAAATCAGTGTTTCCTTTACATATTTTTGTTGTTTCTATGAGCTGCATTGCATGCAGTCTTTAAGTATATTCTGAGTTGCTTTCTGTTGACTTCAACGCTTTTATTTAGTGAGATAAGTTTTTCCATTACATTAACTTATTTCTTCTCTGTTGCAGTGCTCATATCTCTCCCATAAGTATCTTGCCAGCCTCTGCAGAGTAAGTATAATGAAAATATAAAAGGTTTGAATTGTGCTGTTCCTAAAGCATGCATAGAAGATACATGTGGAAAAGAAATGCAGTAGGTTTGATGATTACAGTTGTAAGTGAACATGTTCTAGTGTGAAGTATTTTAACTTCTGGCATTTAACAGCAATGAAGGAAAAAATGGGTGTCTGTCAGTGTTGTTGGCTGCAGGAGCATGAGAGCACAGTATGCTAGAATCTATGTTCCAAACCAGTTTGGTTTTATACTGAGATACATCATAGATGTTTGACGTGAAAATTATTGTATGACTCACATGGTTTTAGCACTACTGCTAGTTGTTAATATTGAGTACAGTTCAGTGGAATTGTGTGGAGGAAAAAACAATTTCAGAGTTAAAAAAGGAGTAAAATAGTTCAAGATTCTTCAGGAGGACTTTTTGTAGGCCTAATGATGTTTTTTGGATGAGCTGGCTAAGGAGCACTCAGCAGAGTAGTCTGTTTTTGAAGAATGCTGTTCTGTTCCTGATGTATCTTGGGGTATATCTTGTGTCCTTCATCAGGTACCTGCTCATTGTCTCTGCTGTTTGTTGGCTCTTGCCTTTTAAGATTAGAGCCCTGTTTGGGGGGGTTACAGCCAGCCCTGCTGAAGTGGTGCCTGCTCCAGGGTTGGCCGACCTGTTACAGGCAGAGGCTTTTACTGTCACATTCACATATTAGAATTGTGTAAGTTTTTTGTGTATAGTTATTAAAAAATAAGTCATTGTACTGCATTGATGACTCTTAAAATACTAACAGACTTCATAATACTTTATGTAAACCTTATGAAATAAAAGATAGTAGGTGCAGTAGTTTCCACTGAGCCTTTTGGGAAAGTTTGTCTCTTTGCCTTGAAGTATTTGTCATCAAAGACCCGTGTCGTGTGTGAAGCTTGTTCCCTCTGCCTGGCTGCATAGCTGATCAAAGTGAAGGGGGGTTCTTAATGTGAACGTTCTTGTCTTCTTTCTTTGCAGCATTTTAGAAAGAACAATTCGGGCAGCTGTGGAACAGCACCTCTTTGACCTGCAGAGCAGCTTGGATAATGATCTTAAACATCTGCAGCAACACAGGCTGGGCTGTAACAACGAAGCAAAAAATCCCAGCGGGGATGAGGAAGGATCTAACAACCAGTAAGATTTTGTTGTATCTTTAATGAGTGTTATAGGCCTGCGTATCTTAGAACTGGAATTGTTTTGATTGCAAAAGACCTTTGAGTCCAACCATTAACCCAACTCACCAATTCCACTGCTAACCCATGTTCCTCAGCACTTCATCTGCGTGTCTCTGAAATCCCTTCTGTGGTGGTAGCTCCACCACCTCCCTGGACAGCCTGATCCAATGTGTGACAATACTTCTGGTGAAGTAGTTTTTTCCTAACATCCAACCTAAACCTCCTTCCAAAACAAACTACCCCAACCCAAAGCTTAAGTTACAACTTTTGTGATTAGCTTCAATTTCTCTCGTGTTTTAAACCAATCAATTTCCATCAGTTGCCAATAATCAATAGCTCTTGGAGCAAATATTTTTAAATTGATCTTGGAGATAAAAACATTGTGAAGCATCACCACTTCACTGCTGAATTCTGTGCAAGTAGCACAAGAACTTAAATTTTACTCAAGTGCTTACGTTGCTGATGTTACTTATGACACAGTTTTACCATTGGAAAGCTGTTGTGGAAGCTGTTTCAATTTCTGTACCATATCTTCCTGTGTCAACATAGCTGCTTTACTGCTCTGGCTGCCAGTGTCAACCAAATGGCTAAATATGTTTAGAATGAGCACTGTGGGTCTATTTGTGTAGAGTTTCAGCCTTGTTTGATCAGCTTTTGATTGTAAATAACGCCATGATATGAGTGTAGCAATTGCCATGATAGCATTGAAAAGCTGGTACATTTTTGTGCTTTATTAAAAATAAGTAGTCATGATCAATACCTGAACTCCAAAAATGTGTAGTTAAGTAGGACTTCAGTACCCAAATTCCTTTGCTGCCCAGAGCCTGAAATACATGAAGTATCCAGAGACTCGAATGCTGTTTTCTACATTGTTCAGTCTTTAACTGTTTTTAGAAGTTTTAGCTGTGATGGGAGGTCAAACTAAAGTTAGCAGTTGATCATAAAAGTAATGATCACTGCTGGTAATGATCAATTAAAACTGAGTTTTAGTGTTAGAAATTTGATGTCTTTGAAGTAATTTACGAGTAAGTGGGTCATTGCCTGAAAGACCCATTGTAGCCCAATTCCTTCAGTTACAGCAGAAGTGCTGTAAAGGCTGGTTGACTTCACAGAAGTGGAGGCTAAAAGTACCACCAGTGGAGGTCTGAAACCAGAATACTCTTCTGGCACAGTGACCATTTCAGATGCTTCTGATCATCGTTCCGCTGTGGATTAACCGTAACAGGGGATACACGATAGCCCTCTGGAAAGAGGGTGTCTGGGTCCTTCCAGGCACTGCCACCCACCGACTGTGCACAAGGCAGACACACAGTTAAACGAAGAACTGAAAAAGTGCAGTGATCCAGTGCAAAATTCTTAGAGCTGCCTTAAAATAACTGCCAGAATAAAGAAAAAGTAAGAGTTTTAATTTCCGAATGTTTGCTGTCTGTATCTCTGATAAAGGAGGAACATTTTTCAGAGTACTTTGGAATTCTTTGGGCAAGGAGAAGCAAGGAAAGGAAGTCATCACAAGTCAAGGACTTGTGCTGAATTACAGAATCATGTGGTAACAGCAGTGATGCCATGTAAAGACTTTATGAACATAAATACAGTTTAGGTTAGTTTAAATCTGTTTGTACTGTGTTACAACCCTTAAGTTGGATTCTAGGAAGATATATGTTAGAAATAATGGGATTGCTCACAGTGTAGTCACAGCAGCTTCCCTGAGTCCTGGTACTTTCAGTATGTCATTGCTTCTGGCTGTTGGTGCTTCTATTCTTTAGGTCAGCAGAGCAAGTGGGGGATCTGTGACCAACCCTTAATACAAAATTCAAATACATACATTTTAATGTGTCCATCTACTGTTGTAGAAAACCTCAGAAGTGTATATAAAATAAGTAAATTTGCCTAAAGGTGATGGAAACTGTAGATATTGCCAGTATCTTTGGTCAGAATAATTTTGTTGAAAATAAAACCTCTTGATGTTTGATACTTCTTAAGAAAAAAAAAAAGTATGATGTGTTTTTCTGTTCAAGGTGGAACAACAGCTAAAGTTTCTGTTCTTCTCTTTAGGAATGATGTTATTGAAGATAATGACACTGGTAGCAGTGAGAACACAGGAGACTGCTCTGAAGTATTGGTCTGCACTGATTTAGACAGTGAAGCTATGAAACATGATACTGTAACTGAGGAAGAAGAAAACGTCCAGGTGAGAGGAAGAGTCTCCTCTACGTGGAAGACATAAATTGCTGTGACTTTAGCAAGGTGCTTTAGAGATCTGGGTTCTCCTGAGGGCTCTGATGCAGCCTTACATGGCTGTCGTTGCCTCTCTGCTTTGCACATTTCTTAGATATGCACAGAGAGATTTTTGTGTGCTTTGGTGCAACTTGTTTGGACCCTAACGTTTTCCTCTTGGTCTTTGACAGGTACCAGCCCTTCCTTCTGCTCAGGTAAGTCAGTGTATCAGCAAGCATGGCACTGCTCAGAGTAGCACCTCTGTGAGTAGAGGCTTCGTGAGGAGCAGAAGATCTAGAGCTGTGATTGTAGCATAGCCCACAGGTAGTCACACCTTCCACTGGCTCAGGGAAGGGTAGAGGTAGCAGTCACCTTGAGACTCTGCAGGCATTTGACTATGCTTGTGCTAGGAAGGTGTGGTTTTCTAAGTAGCTATGGCACTGCTCAGAGTAGCACCTCTGTGAGGAGAGGCGTCGTGAGGAGCAGAAGATCTAGAGCTGTGATTGTAGCATAGCCCACAGGTAGTCACACCTTCCACTGGCTCAGGGAAGGGTAGAGGTAGCAGTCACCTTGAGACTCTGCAGACATTTGACTATGCTAGGAAGGTGTGGTTTTGTAAGTAGCTAATTACAGCCTTTTCTCACAGTTTCCAGTTTTATCTGTGGTTTATAGGCATAGATGTCCTATTCTTTTCAACACATCTTTCTAGTTCAAAGGGGTTCTGTTACTCCTCCTAGGACCTCTTTGCTTAGATACTCGAGTTCTGCTGTCCCTCCATACTGATGTGTACACTTAGAATTCTTACACTTGAGGTGTTCAGAAAAAGGAAAGTGAAAGAAAATTAGACTTGTGACCTTGTGAAGAGCTTCAACACTTAATATTGTCACCTTGAAAAGTATCAGGATTGATCATTTGTATTCCAAGGTAGGAAAACTGTCTGGAGTGCTTCATGAGCACATAGCAGGATGTGATGTTAACATGCTTGTAAAAATAAAATAGTTGTATTTTTTAAACAGTTCTGCCCCAGAAAGTACAATGTTAATGGAACTTGAAGTTCCTGTTAAAGTTCATAAAGCAACTGAAAAACCACAGGATAGTCAGGTGTCAAGAGATTTAATTTTGGCTTTGCTTTTACATATTATGCTTGAATTGAACAGTTTTGTGTCGCTGAAGGAAGTATTTGTGTACAACTTGAGTGGAAGCCCAGGATTGTGCCTACTTGTTGAAATAATTGTTTGCCTTGTACAACAAACACTGCTCAGCTTTGCTTTGAGCTGCAAATTAGCACATCCTTGCATGCAATCAAGTGTGAAGGTTTGTAGTTATGGCCTGAATTTGTGATGATGGCCTGAACTTTTTATTAGTAAGCAGACATCAGCATCCCATTCAGAGTGTCTGTATGGGATCAAGAAATGCTGTAAGATATGCACTGACAAAAATGAAGTATAACAGTAAAATACAAGAGAATTTAGTTTCTACCTCTCTGTATGAATCAGAACTTATACAACTGTTAAATAAAATCATCTTAGAGTTTATTTGAATAGTTAAAATTCATAGTTCCTTATTTATTTGGTAAAACTTTCATTGTCATGAATCTAAGTGATTAATTTTGTGGGTAGAGGGATTTGCTCTACTTGTGCAGAGAACTTTCTACAGTGGTTTTTAGCTGCTTGCCTGTGAGTCCATAAATCTTTCTGAGGGTTTCCTGAAAGATAAATAGATAAGCAAACCTATTGTTAGTAGACATAAATTATCTAGAAGAATTTAATGAGTCTGTGAACTTGAAAAGATAGAAATGGATGCTTTAGCATAGTGAAACTGTGAGTTTGTCTGGAATCTAGGTTTCTATTAAAACAAAATGTTGCTGTAGCACTTTTCCCTGTTGTAATGTGTTTTTCTACAAGCCTTCTGTTTGCTTTCCTGGATCCCAAATGACTTTTTCAATTTACCTAACAAGCCAAATTTTTTCAGTTGCTCCTGATAAACTAGGGTACTGTTTTAGACTCCCATTCTGTGAACTAGAAGTTCACAGAATGTATTTATTATCCAGGTTCTTTCCTGATGCACTAGTGCCAAATCTCGTTATTAAAAACCGATGAGATTGTTTTCCTGTAGTGCAGAATGCCCAGGACGTGTTGTTGCAACTCAAGTCAGGTGAATACTGTGTTTGCAGGAGTTCTGCTGAGCAGGGTGGAGTTCTGTATTTCTGCTGGAGGTCTTTTTCTGACTGCTTATTATAGGTGGTCTTTTATTAGTAGTATTTGTTTTAGGTTTTCAGTCTTCTAACAGTGAGAGCCTTCAAAAGCAATAGGATGGATTTCTCATGTTAACTCTGAGCAGTTGTTACACTGGTAACACTGGCAGCTCTTCAGTGCATTTTATGTAGTTTCAATCATTTCAAGGTACAGCTGAGAAATGTGAATTATGCTGCTTGGGAAGTATGTGCACCTTGGAGTTCCAAGTGTGTTACTGTGATAAGAATATAAAGGGGAACATGTTGCTTGGGAGTGTGCTGTCATGTCTAATGTGCTTTTGTTCTCATGCCTGATGTCTTTCATGGCCTTTTTTGCTTTTTGATACATGTCTATCCTTTGATATCAGTAGTAAGGTGGCACTTGGGGGTGGAGTTTTGTTTCTTCAATGTTATTTTCTACCTTCTTGTTAATCCAACAGTTTAGATGTTACTGGAGAGTTGTATCTTTTGGGGAGACATTAAAGGGCAATGCACTGATGATTCTTTATGAAAGGAGCTTGAGAGGGGCATGCAGCCTGTAGGAAACAGGGAGGTGCACGTGAGCTCTCCTTTGGGTCTGAAATGGAAACAGGAGCAGCTGTTTCCACAGCTACAATAAGCCTGACTATGTGAGCCCTGCACGGCTCATCTCCAGGGTGGAAATTATCTGCAGGAGTATGACAGATGCACTGTAATTAAAAATTGTTTCCCCAAGTTGGAATTTGATTTGAGGACTGAAATAACATAAACAGAATAATGGAGTTTTGTCTGGTGAGGGTGACTATTACTGTCAGTGGTATAAACTGGCAACTGCTGTGTATATTTGAACCCTCCAAGTAACTTTTTTCTATTCAGACATTTTAAAGATCACTTGTAAGAACGTCTTGAAGTCTGAAACCAGATGTAATGTTATTTTCAAATGACATATTTTATATTTCAGCTTCCTTGTAGTCCCCCAAATAGGACACTTTTTGAAGAAATGAAGTACTGGGCTTTGGTGTAAATGTTTAAAGTAGTTTTTTCTGTGCCAACTTTTAGTGAACAAGATGGTGACATGTATTCATCTGAACTTGTTTTGTGAGATGGTGTCACAGAAATGCCAGCATTTCTTCATCCCTTCCCAGTTCTGTTGCTGCTTTATTTAGTAAGAGGGATTAGTAGCTCCTTTTGGAAAGTCTGTCAGACTTATTTCATGTCATACATGCACAAGTCTCCATCCAACTGCATTATTTTTGACAGCAGGTTATACTTACTGCCATGATTTTAGTCCCCCTAAATGTGATGCTGTGATTGACAATTTGCAGTAGGACTGTTAGTGTTAATACTTAAAAGGAATAACAATAAAATAGAGTTGTCTGAAGATGGAAAGACATTATCTGTCTCCTAGTGATTAAACCACCTGGTTACTGGCCTTTTTTATCTTATTTTTTACTATCATTTTTAGATATAAAAATGTTGCATGGTTGAAAAGTAGGATTTCCACCCCCACACCAGAAGCTGGGCTTTTACTTTTTGAGTTTTTTTTGTGGTCAGTGATGACTACAAAAATGTTTTCAGCTGAGAATGCCATGCCCAAAACTTTCTAAACATGCTTTTTGCCAACAGGCTGCAGACGTATTATTGAAACCATGTGATGAAGATGCAGATGTTGATGGAGAAAATAATAGTGAAAGGTGTGTATGTATCTTTCTTCTCTCACTTACGTGGCAGAATGTGTACCTCAGTTTGGAAAAGTGCATCAATGATGATTTGTGATTATAACATCGGGGAGGTGAAGCTAAGCATCTAACTTTTCACATGTTCACAGAGAGGATAAGGTAGAATTTACCTTTTGTTGATAATAATGATACCAAATTCATGGAACTTTGTGCACTTAAAAGAAAAAATAAGTACAAGCCTGTATGTTATATATCATGGGGTTTTTTTGTGAGCAGTTCTATGTTCTGAGCAAGAGAAACAGAACAAGAAAAAAATTATTTCTCTTTAAAATATTTTGGTACATTTTATTGCTCTTAATGATAGAAGAATTACTGCTGGTAACAATGACTTCCCAGAAGACTTCAAGTTTGTTTGCAGTTTGAGTTCAGCACTGATTGAAATTTCAGGTTGAGTTTAGCTGACTTTTAAAATATGTACTCCTGGTCTGGGAATAAAGGTCTGAGCTGTTTTTATTTCCAGCTTGGTTCAAGTCCAGTTGTTGTTTACGTCCTTCAGCTTGAAATTCTGTGATGAGCAAAGGGGGGAGGAAGAAGCAATGTGACTTTGGCTGCCTAGAATTTTAATTATCAATTGTAGGAAATTGCACTGCATATCTGCTAAAACTGGACCAGGGTATGTAACAGGAATGTATAGTGTTTACTGTCAGTTAAGAACTTGTATTTTAAAAGGTAACTAGGTCTCTGTCTTCTTTGTAGGCAAAATAGTATTTTGCTTGGTGGTGGTGATAGAATATCTTCAGAGATGTTTCTGGTAAGTTTTGGTTTCATTTACACACAGATACACAGCAGCTTGTGAACTTAAATGAAAGGCAGGCATGAAGTAAAACAATAACAGAACTCATCTCACTTTACAGAAACTTTTGCAGCAGAGCAAGCTTATATTTGTGAGTCTCCTGTAAGGAATGTTTTCTGATAATTGACTACTGTTGGGGAGGAGGGGGAAGCTTGTTTATGATTCCTTGAATTAGGAAAGAATTCCCCCCTCTCCCTAGAAAATTTCTAGAAGTGCTGGAAGAGACACTTACTAGGTACTTGATTTCCAGTTGGCAAATAATAAAATTGTTCTGTTATTTTATTTAAATACAGGATTCAAGTAGCAAGACTTGTGATCTTAATGCAAACACTGATTCGGAGGCGTCGGGGGATGGCAACGCTCACGTTCCTGAGGAAGCTCTGAGTGTCCAAGTACCACGTTTAGATCTGAAGAATGTATCTGATGGTGACAAATGGGAAGGTAATTTCCACCCTTATGCTCACAATACAGTTAACTAGTAATGACAAATAAAACTTTTGACAAAGCAGAAGCAGAAGACAACTTTACACTTCATTTTCTTTGGTTCAATCTGAATAATATGTTCCTGTGCACGTGGTAAGATTGCCCAAGTCATGATATGGGTCCTATCTTGTTTCAGAACTATCTGCAACCTAATTAAGGACCTTAAAAAAAAAAAAAGTGAAGAAAAAATAGTCAAAGGAGCAACCAGAGAAACTAAAAAAAGCCTAATTTTCATACTAGAGAAGGTTGGGTTTTATGGTTGTTTTAAAAGTGACATATGGTTCCTAGCGCCATGAGTCTCTCATTCAAGTCCTCCAAAGGAGCAACCAGAGAAACTAAAAAAGCCTAATTTTCATACTAGAGATGATTGGGTTTTATGTTTGTGTTTGTTTTAAAAGTGACTTATGGTTCCTAGGGCCATGAGTCTCTCACTCAAGTCCTTAAAAATGCTTTTTCTGATTATGTCATATAGTGAATAGTCATGCTGTGTCTTGTTTGGTGTGTGTTTTATTTTTTTTTTAATGTAAGCTCCTGAAGTTCTAATTCTGGCTGAATTTGACTTAAAATCACCAAACTACTAATCACAGCAATTTAATTTGTTTTGAAAAATCTGTTGGTTGTTTTGTTTCAAACATCAGGAATGTCAGATGTTGGCTTTCATGTCATTGGACAGTTTGAAACAGCTCTAAGTCTTCAAATGAAAGTTAAAGCTGTAGATTGATATTATTTGTGTGCCACTTCTCCCTCCGTTGCTCGGATTTTAGGAGAAGCAAAATGTTTGAAACCAGTTTCATCTCAAACAGGATTCCCTATGTTTGTGACCTTATTTGTGACCTTCCAGGTTTAGCAAGCCCCTCAGCTTGTGACTTGACTGAACTTTGTTGCTTGAGTGTCTGGTAATAACTGTTTAGACTGTTGTTTTTCATGTGTAAAAATGTGGACCCAGAGCAGGACACTCTTGTCAACATCTTTTCAAAGTGCTTATCTGCATGTTCCTTGTATCTTGTTTCTTCTACCTGGTGCTGACATTCTGAATCACCACACCTCAAAAAATGCAAGTGTTACAGTTTGCTAAGACACTGTGAGCTGTCACAGACAGGACAGTGGCCACAGCCCACTCATTTCCAGTTGCAAGAGCTTGCAAATACAGCTTGGTAGACAGAGCACAGATGGGCTGCCCAGGGGTGAGGTTTTGACTCCCAACGGGCTGTTCCAGCAACAGCTACTCTGAGCTGCCTGGTGTGGGCAGCTGCTAGTCAGGGCCTGCTAAGGAACAACCACCACCACAGCATCTACCTGTAGCATGTCAGCACATAAAGCTTCACCCTGAAGCTCAAAAGGTGATAACTTATGTTTAGCTTGTTACCAGTGTTGCCTGTTCTCCAGATTAATGCCCTGCGTGGCTCCATACTTCCCTTTTCACCCTTTTACAAGTGATGAGGTTTGGAACTTGGTTGGCATACTGAGATTTGTAAGATGGTTGCTGGGTGGCCTCCCTGAGCCTGAGCAAACTGGACATCCAGAGTATGCCATGTCCTACAGAAGTCCATCTGCAGGCATCTGAAGACAGCCAAGTCCAGATTTTTGTTCTTGTTGGCCAAGTTAATAACTTTTGTCTAAAGTTTTTAAAAAAATAAAAATCTTGCTTATGTTTAGTGGTTTGTTTACATAAATTGCTTAATTGCACTTTGTTTTGTTGCATCCTCTGTTTGTATTATTATGTATCCCCAGAAGGTTTGTGGCTTCCATTTTCATTATTTCCTTAAATTTGCTCATAAAAGTTGCTTTGGTTTTACTTGCCCAAATAGCTTTGTCTCTTACCTTGAGAGGAAAGTAGGATATCTGTATATAAACTTATCAGCTTCTTGGCAGTCAATTCAGGATATTTTGCAAGAGGTGTGTTTCATTGCAAAGTGTTTTATCTTTGGCTGTTCTTCAGTCCTGTTTAGAAGGGTTACTGCAAGTCCTTGTGGCATTGCATGGAAGTAGATTGGCTTGGTAAAGAAATCCTCTTGCAAGATTTGGGTTATTAAAGCTTATGTGACAGAAAATGTACAAGTTGTGTAACCAACAGAGTTCTTGAAAATAAGCATCAAGTGCTTGCTGGCTTCAGGCAAAGATGCAGATCAGTTAATCTGTATTTCTGAGCGTTTTTTCTGCATTTGTCCTCTTTGGAAATCACCATCTCTAATTATTTACGAGCTGTGGGCAAAAACATCTTTGGAGCTTGTGTTTTGTTACTGTGAGGATGTGTGAGACTCTTCTTAAACGAGAACAAGTCTTTGCTATTCCTGTGTCAGTGCTTTGTAAACCTTTTCAGTAGAAGGTTCAAATTCGCTGAGGACTGAGCATCCTTACCTGCCACTGAAATTGCTTGGAAGCTGAGAGTGCTCAGGGCCTGGCCCGAGAGATGGGGTGTTTTTCCCTGGTACTGTATCTTCCTGCTTTACATGTTATGTATGGTTTGTTCTGACTGTGCTGTGTGTTCACTTTAGTATTTTTGCCATTCTTTTTCATTTTATTAGCGCCATGCCCTATCACTTTCCCCCTCATTGATTTCAAAACAATGCACCTGCAGAGAGAAGGGGAGGGTAAGTATGGTTCGCCATACGTTCAGTTATCTGCCTTTTGATAGTTTATGGTTTGCTTTCTGATTAACCCTTCACCTGCTGTCCCTGGGAATATCCTGATCTGCAATTTTTTCTTAGTTTTTTTTTCCTAAAAAGTCCCCTCTTTGTATTTTGTTCTGTGTAAACGGGCAAGATTACAACTTAAAAACAAAACAAAAATCCCAATAATGCTTAGTAAATGTACAATGGAAAGCAGGTACAAGGGTTGTTTTTTTTTTTTTTTAAGATGACTTTGTGGGTTTTATTGTTGTTCTGCACACTTTGAACCCAGTTTTCAAATTTCTAATTTGAACTGGAAAATATAGGCTAGACTCTGAAAGGAGAAGGGGGGTGGGATTTTAAAGTACTTGGAAGGTCATGTCAATTTTTTGTTAAGACAGCAAGAGAGCCATATCTGAGAATTTTAAGGGATGCTAGCAACTGCCTTTTTATAGGGATTTTTAAAAAAAATTGTTTTGGAATCCCCTTCCCAAAAGAAATCACCTTCCACAGATTAAGAAATCTCTTTTTCTCAGTGGTGTCAAGATGGATTTAAACTTTAAAACCCACCAACACACCTTTTAAAAAGATTTAAACCAAATGGGTATTGTCCCTAAAGAGGTATTGTCAGGCTTACCTTCTTCAAAACCAAGAGGACAACCTCTCAAAGTACACGTGTAAGGTATGAAAATTAATTTCCATGCCAAAATATTGCATTGGGCAAGAATGATATTCTTCTAACTTTGGATCTCTGATAAGTAAATAAGACTCTTCAGCAGTGTTGAACCGTTCAGAAGCACATACTCCCAAGATACACTTTGAAAAAGGGATCCTAGTGTGCATACTTCATTTCAGTACCTTTTCCTTTCAATTGTTCCATGACAGAATTTGTAGCTTTCTGATGTATTTCAATGTTTTTATTCACCTTGTGTATGACACCACATCCTTTATAGCATACAAGGCTAAGCATTGGGTACACATTTTTTTTGTTTCCTTTTGACTCTTGTTTATAATTCTGTTAACAGAAAAGTACCATTCTTGTGTCCCTCTTTTATCTTCTAGATCCATTTCCTGCTTTCAAATCTTGGCAGGAGGACAGTGAGTCTGGAGAAGCTCAGCTTTCCCCCCAGGCTGGGAGGATGACTAACCACCCCCTGGAAGAGGACTGCCATCCGATACTGTCACACCGTAGTTTGGATTTTGGGCAAAGCCAACGTTTTTTACATGATCCAGAAACGTTAGATTCTTCATCCAAAGCACTTTCTTTTGTTAGGTGTGTATGTTCATGCAGCTGGGTGGGTGTTGGGGCTGGAGGTGTTACTGCCAGTGTGAAAATACAGCTGTTGAAGGACCTCACGGGTTTTCACGATGTGCATTAATTGAAGGCCAAGGTTGTACGTAGCATTATACAGCCATTGGGCTGTTCTGCCTGCCCAGGAACTGCCACAGGGAGACCAGAGGTTCATCTGGCATGGTATCGTGTCTCTCACAGCAGCCCCTGGCCGACACTAGGGAACGAGTATAAAAATAGGGCAAGCTTGCACAGATTGCCTGGCCTTTGGTCAGGGCTTCTGACAACCTGAGGCTGTGGCACTTCCTGGGGTGAAAACAGTATTTATATCCTTTGTTTACCACTCTGTACTAAACTGCTGGTCTATAATTTTATGTAAGTTCAGGCTTTTTTTAAAGTTGTTTTTCCTCAGTAGTATGAATGTCTATTTTCATGGTGCAGAATTTTGGATTTGTTTTGCCTGGCATGTTACCTGTTCCCAGTAAAGAGAGCCAGGTTATACAAACCAGTGCAACAGAATTGGGCCACAGTGGCCTGGGCAGATCCTTCCTTGCAGCTGTGAGAAGTGTTCATTCAGAAGGGCTGTAGGAAGGTGTCAGCTGTTGGAGGGAGAGGTGTGAGGTGTCAGGGCTCTTAATGCAGGTGGTGTTCTGCAGATTTTGAGATTTGAGCCCACTTAACCCAGAGTATGAAACCAGAGTTGTAACTAAACATGCTGCAAGTTATTTGTGTGACACAGGGGAGTGTGACCTTCCAAAACTGTAAACAGCCTGTGACCTATACTGTCTGCTACTGTCATTGTGAAGGGGTATTCCAGAAGAATTTCCATGCTTGCTAGGGAAGAAATAATCTCAGAAAAATGATAAAATCTGGAACAGAAAAGATCAAGTTCAGAGTCTCCAGTTCTCTGTCTGACATAGACTTATTGATGCACAGAGATACTTGCCCAAGTTTTCTCCAGTTAGCCACAGAAGATAGTTGACAAATACTGTTAAAAGTGATGCATTAGGCCTGCAGAAAAGTGCTGATGGTAATAGCTGGCCTCCTCATTCTGAAACTAATAAGACTCTACACTAGTAGAGGATTAGATCAGTATTTCTGATATCCTGAACTACATGGAAGTCTCTAGCTCTG